GGTATTTTTTTTTAATACTCGTTACTATGTAATCAGCGATACTATATAAAATGCTATTTTCTATATAATTTAATTCTTCTACTTTTTGAGATACGTATGATATATCAATATTTGACTGAATAAGAAATTCTGAGAATAGTTTACAATCCTGAGAATGATTACAATGTTTTGAAGATTTATGTTCGGCAGTTACGTCCAAAAAACCTTGTAGAATATATAATTTCTTCTTACCTTTTTCTTTTTATAATAAAAATAAAAGAAAAAAAACGCAGAAAACAAGCTCAACGATCACTAGATGCTATTGTAAGAAATAAACGATCGTAACGGTCGTGAAAGAGACTTGGAATATAAACAGCTAACAGAGAGGAGCCGTCGCGGTCGTGCAAACTAAGTGTCTTGGTATTAGGCGAGGGAATCCGAGTTCAAATCCAGTCGGTCTCCGTTTATTTTTTCGAATCTCTAATAAATATTTTTCATTATGATCAATGTCACGTTACATACATCATTAGAGAAAAAATGGCAGACCAATCAAAATGTTTCAAAATCGAGATATTGAAGAGATATGTGATGGCCAGACTCTTACTAAAGGGTCTTTAATTTTTCAGTGATAGCAGTGCCACCAAGGATTCGCGGGAGTACTAAAACTGAAACCTCAGTTTCCAGTCTCAGCTTGTACGCCCTGATGACGCGTGTCCGTGGCGTAGCTGAAATTATGTTTGCATCAGTGTTATCAACTTAGCTATTTTTCAGCTAGATCTAACTTTTTTATGTACAATTTAGCTCGCAAAAATTAGCTTTAGCTGTTTAGCTCTTTTTTTGGAATATTTTTATAAAGGTAATACAGGAACATAAAAGCCGTAAGGTCATAATAGTTGGTAAGATTCGAAGATTGTTAGAAGAGCGAAGCTGTTGTGCAGACTGAGGGTGCGTTCCTTTATTCACTTCGAGTGATTCAGTTTCCATGGAAGCAGCCATCTTTGTGCTCTAACTGCTTTACCTCGCTAGTTGCAGTAGCCACAACAAAAAGTATGTCAAAATCAATGACGTCATAGAATTCAAGGCAGTACTTTCGTAGTACACTGCTCTGTATATTGGAACGCTATTCGTAGTACTGATAGTACTCGGAGTGAATAAAGGAACGCACCCTGAGTGTTATGTTTGTAAACAAAGGATCTCGAGTTCAAATCTTAGTCGCTTCGTTAATTTTTCTTCGAATATTATTTTCTACAGTAATAAGATGTTAACTAGCGATTTATTATGATTTTAATTCGTTAATTGTGGATTCACATCATATCTGACATCTAATGTTCGACATCTAATAGAAGAATTCTTTTAGATAAAATTTGTTAGAGATAAAAATGTAATTATCTAGAATCTTATTAAAAAAACACGAAAAAATGAAATCTCCTATTGGATGTTGTACATTCAAATCTTTCAATCAACGGAGCGACAGAAAGATACGCAGTGGTAGCCTAGAGATGGTTAATTTACACTTTCTACAGTCATCCTATTTCTAAAAAAAATTCAACCAAAAAGTACAGTACTTGAGGTTTTATTTTCCGTTACCATGAATTAATTCCGTTACCATGATTTATTAGTACCAATGAACTATTGGCACTATCAGAAGTTTACGCGCATATTTACAAATTTCTCTTCTGACACACAACAAAATACATAATATAGAAAATATACCCCGATAGCCATCTGAAAAAACAGATTATGCACAAAGTCTGTTATAAATTTCTGATGATTCTGATTAGAAAGCCAACAGATTGCTAACAGATTCTGTAATATCTGACAATGCTAGCAAACTGCTGCCAGAAACTGACAGAATCTGTTGACATTCTGTGCCGGCAGATTGACAGCAGAAATCGAGCAGACCTTGCTATACTCTGCCGTTAGATTGGCGGCAGAAAGTAAGCAGAACTTGCGCGACACAATTTGATGGCAGGATCTGCTCAATTTTTGCTGCCAGTCTGCTAACACAGACTGTCAACAGGTTCTGTCAACAGATTGTAAGCAGAATGAGACCTCGGATAAAGTCAGTCTGCTAACATTTTACAATAGAATTCTATATAAAGAGAAAAGCGACATCGAACCTTCACTAATGCTTCGAATATAGTGCATTCCCACTTTTTCAATATTTTAATTTGTAACGACACCTGACTCCCCTCAATGTTAATAATAATATTAAAAGTCCCCGACCGATCAACCGTCAAGGCATCGACACGGCGATCCTTCCGTGATCCCACCGTCGTAAAATCATGTCGAATATCGGACGAAGCAAAACGGAGATCACACGGCTTCACGTGCGCAGAGCGTAGATAAACACGCACCGGTTAGGCCACCGCCGTCGGCCCCGCTACCAATCGCGCCACCGAACACCTTCGCGAAATAATCGAGCGCGTTCGGCGAATTATCGCGAAGATTCCGGCGAGAGCATCCCCCGGAACTACCCCGACTCGAGTTCGGCCGATCCGTATCCGACTACTCCCGACGGCCGACTCAGGTATTAAGTGACTCCGGTGAATGATCGAGATCTATCACCGGCGAGACAGTAAAACGTCCAATACTGCTCTCGATACTTCCAGTCCTATCCAACACGAAGCGATCTCGATATTTTCTATCGCACCAGGAGCTTCTGGCCGATCGCTCCTTTCATCCACAGTGCACAAGCTTTATCACAGATTGAGGAGCTTCTCAATCTGGGCTCTAAAAGCAAGCCCTTGTACGCATCTTCCACCGCTGACGGTCAAGAAGCAGGGAGCTTCCTGCATTCCAAAGACCACAGCACAAAAACCTCAGACAGACCGTACGCACGACGAAACAGCTGATCCGTCATAACAAGCGCGCCGAAGACCCTTCGCACCGTCGCGCCCGCGCCGCGCCTACCGTGAACGCGCCGAATTCACGGAACCGACCGCGAGCCGAATCGATTGTACGATTCCCGGAACCCACGCCGCTTTTCACAGAACCAAAGGCGAAATTCCGGACAACTACTTGTAAATATTGTACATATAAATATTGTACATACCAAAAACTCAGTTAGTCAAACTGTAAATATAGACCTTGATATGTAAGATAGAAAGGCTCTCGATATTTTATTTCTCTTCAACAATCCTGACTATATCCGACCGACGCTATCCCGCGAAACACGACTTATCCGAGTTAGAGACGTTTTAAATTGAAGCAGCCATGTTATGATCGCAGTTGTTTACATTGTTCCAATATCATCAAACTCTATGACATTGCTTAATGAAACGTGTTACATTATATTTTTTTATCGAGTAATTGTGATGAGAGTGGTGCTGACTAATTGAAAATGTCACGCAAATAGGTAAATGACTTAATGAAGAAGGTAAATAATACAATCGATTTTAATTTTACTGAATACATTATTGCAATAAGATTATAATATGTTTGAACATTATAATAAATAATTTAATTTAACTTAAAATTTTTCTTTTTTTATTCTTGTTTCTTATACCTAACTAAATGTCAGCTGTGCAAACAACTCTGGTCACAACATGACTTTAATTAGGTAGAAGTATTGTCAATCAGAAATCGCGACACCGTTTCTCTCTTTATATAGGAAAGTATACAATATTCCATACGAATGGTAAGAGGATTAGATTAGGTTAGATCTTTCAGCAGTGGAGCTCCCCGAAGGGGGTGGGGGATTATCTCTACGCACTTCAACGCAAAGCGACGTTCCAGGTTATAGTTTTACAATTTTCCACACCGTCGAAATTATATTTTCGAAAAGTTGAAAGTATACGTGGAGGCAGTGTGTTTTCTCTCTTCTGTGGAAGGAGCTCCACTACCGAAAAATCTAATTTAACCTAACCTGTATCACAGTGAAATATCATTGTTAATTAAATATCATTGTGATACATCCTTCATATAAGTCTTTGATAAATTATTTTTTTAATACTGAAAGATATCTATTAGATTCGGAAAAAATTAATGGAGACCGATTGGATTTGAACTCGGGATCCCTCGTCTACCAATCCGACACTTAGTCTGCACGACCACGACGACTCCTCTCTGTTAGTTGTTTATATTCCGAATCTCTTTCATGACCGCTTACGGTCGTCTAATTCTTACAATACTGGCAAAAATTAGTTTTTTCAAATTTTCTCTGTTAATAATTTTTTAATAAATAATGAACGACAGCTAAAATCTTTTGATTGTTATTCAGGGATCTCATGACAATATATATCAAAGTCAAAGTTATTGGGAAATTTACCCCATAAACTAAATAAATAATTATTTTAATAATAATATGATGTTCATATGATAATTT